TCTCGCTCTCTCTCTCTCTCCTTACCGCTTTGCAGACGCGCGTTGCATCAATCCCAACCAACGTGCCGGCCTTTGTGTGCAGATAAATGAGTGCCAGACTCTGTATTCGGTGCTGCAGCAGTCGAGTCTGTCGACCACGGAGAAGCAATTCATCAGAGAGTCAAGCTGTGGAATGGGCCAAGATAATCGTCCATTTATCTGCTGCACTCGAGATACTGGCTACACGCGCAGTTACCGTGTGACGCCCAACTTTGCCGACTATCCGGACTTTAGTGATCTCAGCGAGGGCTATGATTTCGGTTGGAATCGTGCTACCAATACCCCTGCGCCAACCACACTGCTCTTTCCCAGCGATCGACGACCCTGGAGCTTTGGCGAGGAGCAAAGCGCCGACAGCAGTCTGTCGCAGAGTCCGGGCCGTCAGGGTCAGGGCCAGGGTCGACGGCAGCCACAGCAGGTGGATGGCTCGGCTCTGTTGCCACAGCCGCCCGCCTGCGGTGGTGTCACCATTGACAACAAGATCTATGGCGGCGAGGATGCCGATCTCAACGAATTCCCCTGGATGGTCCTGCTCGAGTACAGACGCCTTGCCGGCAACGGACTCTCGACAAGCTGTGCGGGCACCTTGATCAATCAGCGCTATGTGCTAACCGCTGCCCACTGTCTAGTCGGACGGATCGTGCGAGAAATTGGACCACTGTAAGTAGAATTTAGAATTTACTTACGAACAGGTTTCATAATTTCATTCAACTTTCCGTTAGCCGTGACGAAAATTCGTACTGCTTAATCATACGTAAAAAAATTTTACGCATTGCTGTGAATCGAACTGCGATTTCCAAGCAGCTAATTAGCCGCTATGGGGGACTCCAGCTAAACGCTTGTATATCTTTTTTTCTGGGTGTGTGACGCTCTGATTGTTATTGTCTAAATGTTTAAGAATATTAATTAAGTTAGCCAAACCAGATTCAAAGCGTTTAGCGACTTCTGCTGCGGCCGCTGCTGCCTTATTAACGTGATTCATTTAAGTCTTGCTTGGGGCTGGGTTAGGTTCGGTGTTTTTTTTCGCTGGGGAAGGGGAAAAGGGTGGAGGTTGGGTTGGGAGGGGGTGCAGGTGTCATGGAACGGCGGTTCAAAGTGGATAACAATTCGTTGCGCTCTTAATTTACTCGACCGCCTGCTTTTGCTTTTGTTTTCGCTTTGCATTGGGTGTTTGGCTGACCCGTTCGCACTTTTTAAATTCAATTAGCAATATATCTGATTTCCTGCTAAACAAGCGCGCCCCATGCTTTAACTTCAGTTTAAAAATTTGATTTTATTACTTAATTTGTTATATTTTAGTGCCTCGGCGCGTCTGGGCGAGCACGATACACGCTCCGCAGTGGATTGTCCGAGAGGCGGCGGCGCCTGTGCGCCGGCTGCCCAGCGCTTGGGCATTGAGGAGGTGATCGTCCATGAGCTGTACAAGGAGCGGACGCCGAATCAGCTGCACGACATTGGACTGGTGCGGCTGGACAGAAATGTGCAGTACTCGAGTAGCATACAGCCAGCCTGCCTGCCCTCGGTGGTGGCGCCGGAAACGAAGCGGGCGGGACAACAGTATACGGTCGTTGGCTACGGCCGGACCCTGCAAACAGCACGTAGTCCCATCAAGCAGAAGCTAACCGTTAACTTCGTGGAGCCGGCGCAGTGTAAGCGTAAATTTTCGGAGCGTAAGATCAGCATCATGCCCACACAGATGTGCGCGGGCGGGAAATATGCGCAGGATAGCTGCGATGGAGACTCCGGCGGACCGCTATTGCGGTTCCGTGATAATGCCTGGGTGCTGGAGGGCATTGTCTCGTTTGGCTACAAGTGCGGCTTGAAGGACTGGCCGGGCGTCTATACCAGCGTCGCGGCCTATGACGTCTGGATAAAGCAGAATGTGAGAGCCTAACGAGAGCCGCGCTCGCCCTAAAACTAAAGCTCGAATTGTGATCTTGCCAACATACTCGTTTATACATACAATCATATCAATAACATATTTAATATTAGTCGTAAGTGTTTTAGCCAAAATAAAAGAATCTAGCTTAGAGACTATGCGCAAAGTGAATGAACTGGCTTTTGAAAAACCTTTGGATTTTCCAGCACGTCCGTCGATACAATCGCCTGCCATTGACATTGCCACCACACTTTAATTGGCCAGAGCATATAAATATAAACCGCAACAAAAGCTTCCGGTCACAATTGGCCAAAACAATAACAACAACAGCAGCAGCAGCAACAGCTGTAGAAGCAGAAGCAGTTGAAGCCGTTCCAGCTGTTCTTGGACTTTGACCAAAGCTTTTTGTGGTTATGGCTCGCACTCTTATATTAAATGTGACTTGGATGAATATTGAAAGGGAGATGACATAGATCCATAGATTGCATATGCTTTAAATATAATAAATATGATTATAAATAATTAAATATAATAAATGAATATGAATATGTTATAAATCAGTATTGAAAAATTCTATTTTTATTTGCTTTGGTCTTTCAGACTTGGTAATTTTCCTCTCTTAAGGCAATTTCAAAATATCTTTTCTATTTCTCATTTCTGACAGTGGCAAAGCAATGCTACAGCCTGTGGTCATGTTTCTTAACTCCTTTTGCTCTTTTGTATAGATGTATCTAAATTATAATTAATAAATTTGCCTGTAGAACTTTCGTTGATCTATGGAAGTTTATTAACTTATTATTTGAACTTAGCATTATCTTTAGCTATAAAGATTTTGTTTTTCAAAATGATTTGATGGTCGTCTGGACCCTCCATTGATGTTTTAATAGTTGTGAAAATATAAAATATATCAGATTGTTCAATTAGTAATATTTTATATGATAAATGTAGATATGTGTTATTCGGAGCATATCAAATTACATACCGATATATATATGCATACCGATTTATAGATTTATAGAGCAAAACTTTTGTTTTATAAACATCATCTGTATATGAAATATGTACCATCACTAGTACCCTAATGAACCTGATGTCGAAACTCAATTTAAAACTAGCTATCATATTTATATGATTATTTATGAAATTTATGAGACAAATAAACTTTTAATGTATATAAACAAAACATGAAACATAAATTAGAAACCCATATAGAGAACCTTGGCACTTACTCAGTTGAAGCACCCATTCGTTATGTCTCATTAGCAGCAGGGATATTTCAATTATCAATCTAATAAACATTTAGTTACTGGAGCTTCCATTTAATTTTGATGTTGGAGTTTCCAATTTGATATTGGTATTAGTAATCTTCTGAAAACAATTGTAAATATAGGTATATGATTCACTAACTGATATAATATGCATACTTGTAGTTAGTCATATCGATCGATCTTTCATCCGTTCTCTGGCCCTATTGATCTAATTCCATATTAAATTGCAAAAGCTCTCTGTCTCTCTCTCACTCTCTCTCACTGTTCCCTAAAAGCTTTAGATAGCAGCATTTAAATCTTTTCCTAAAAGTAGGCAATGCCTAATCACACAGCTCGAACGCCGAACGAAAGTGAAACCAGAAAACACAGCTGACGGCTGATTGCATAACCGGACCCGCGTACCAGTGGCCAGCGTGCGACCAGCAATAACAACAACAACAGTAGTAGTAGCAGCAGCCACGATGACAACAACAATAACAACAACAACGACGCTGACCGTTGCTCCCGTTTCGTTAACGGCGATTGCAGTTTTTGGGCTCGTTTTGGTGTCACAAGCTGGCGAGGGCTGTGGTCGTTTATTTATTTATTTATTTACCTATTTACTTTTGCTTTTTGTTTTCGTTTTTTTCATTGCTTTTTGCTTTGTTTTTGTTTTTTTTTTTTTTTTTTTTTGGCACTTTTAGCTTCGGCTCTTCCGAGTCGCTGTTGTAGTTTCGGTATCGGTTTTAGTTTCGGTTTCGGTTGACGCTGTCGCCGCTGCGCGCAGCATTCAAATTGGAAATATATCAGATTGTTCAATTAGTAATATTTTATATGATAAATGTAGATATGTGTTATTCGGAGCATATCAAATTACATACCGATATATATATGCATACCGATTTATAGATTTATAGAGCAAAACTTTTGTTTTATAAACATCATCTGTATATGAAATATGTACCATCACTAGTACCCTAATGAACCTGATGTCGAAACTCAATTTAAAACTAGCTATCATATTTATATGATTATTTATGAAATTTATGAGACAAATAAACTTTTAATGTATATAAACAAAACATGAAACATAAATTAGAAACCCATATAGAGAACCTTGGCACTTACTCAGTTGAAGCACCCATTCGTTATGTCTCATTAGCAGCAGGGATATTTCAATTATCAATCTAATAAACATTTAGTTACTGGAGCTTCCATTTAATTTTGATGTTGGAGTTTCCAATTTGATATTGGTATTAGTAATCTTCTGAAAACAATTGTAAATATAGGTATATGATTCACTAACTGATATAATATGCATACTTGTAGTTAGTCATATCGATCGATCTTTCATCCGTTCTCTGGCCCTATTGATCTAATTCCATATTAAATTGCAAAAGCTCTCTGTCTCTCTCTCACTCTCTCTCACTGTTCCCTAAAAGCTTTAGATAGCAGCATTTAAATCTTTTCCTAAAAGTAGGCAATGCCTAATCACACAGCTCGAACGCCGAACGAAAGTGAAACCAGAAAACACAGCTGACGGCTGATTGCATAACCGGACCCGCGTACCAGTGGCCAGCGTGCGACCAGCAATAACAACAACAACAGTAGTAGTAGCAGCAGCCACGATGACAACAACAATAACAACAACAACGACGCTGACCGTTGCTCCCGTTTCGTTAACGGCGATTGCAGTTTTTGGGCTCGTTTTGGTGTCACAAGCTGGCGAGGGCTGTGGTCGTTTATTTATTTATTTATTTACCTATTTACTTTTGCTTTTTGTTTTCGTTTTTTTCATTGCTTTTTGCTTTGTTTTTGTTTTTTTTTTTTTTTTTTTTTTTTTTTTGGCACTTTTAGCTTCGGCTCTTCCGAGTCGCTGTTGTAGTTTCGGTATCGGTTTTAGTTTCGGTTTCGGTTGACGCTGTCGCCGCTGCGCGCAGCATTCAAATTGGATTTTAATACACGGCCGAGCGTTCACGCGAGCGGATTCACTTTTCGTATGCGTTTTCATAAGCCGCTCAGCAATCCACAGTCAACAATCAACAATCAACAATTCGATATTCGCGACATTTGCTTTTGAGCATTGCACGCGTTCGCGATTGCGTATACGTCGCGTTGTCCCCCGCCTGTTCGCCTCTCTGTTTGTCGACGTTGGCGTTGCTCTCGTTAAAGCATCGCATTGTTTGGACCTGGACTCGGCCAATCGCTGATGTACCCTCACCCAAACAGCGGCGCATTGTGGGTGGCCAGCACATTGGTCGCCCTTGCCCTGCGCATCACAGCCAGCAGCGCTGAGACTCAGTCTCGGCCGCCTCTGCCGGCGCAGCTGGCTTGCGATATACCCAACGAAACAAAGCGTGGCGTTTGTGTACAGGTGAGCCAGTGCGCCGCCTATTTACAGGTGCGCAATGTGACGAATTTGAGCTCGGAGCGCGTCAACTTTCTGAAGAAGGTGCAATGCGAAATGGAGACAACAGTGAATGCAACGGCAATGACAATGGCGAACGCAACGGAAACAGCAAATATAACAGCAACAGCTGCTGCTCTTACGATAGAAGATGCTTCGTATAATCCGCTCGTATGTTGCCCAGCCAATGGCCAGGACTATCTCTATCCGGTTATACAATTCACCAAGTTTGAGTATCGTCGCTTTCTGGATGTCACCGCGCGCTTCAAGCGGAAGAAGTTGAAGAGACGCATTCAAACCGTGGAGCCCAGCACCGGCTTCAATCTGCTCAACGAGTGTGGCAAGCAGGTCACGAATCGCATCTATGGTGGGGAAATTGCTGAACTGGACGAATATCCATGGCTGGCATTGCTGGTCTATCATTCAAGTAAGTTGCAGCTCAGAGGGCGGGACTGTCGGAAATTCAATGTGGTATAGGAAAACCGAAGTAAAAAGTTCTTCGATCACTTTGATGATTTTATTAAATAGTTTGAGCAAATATTAAATTCAAATTAAATAATCGCCTCTTCTCAACTTTGTGCTTAGATGATTACGGTTGTAGTGGAGCTCTGATTGACGATCGACATGTTCTGACAGCTGCCCATTGCGTTCAGGGCGAGGGTGTGCGGGAACGTCGTGGCTTGTAAGTCTGTTAAATGAGCTTTATTTAAGGGTCTATTAACTTCATCAACGACATTCTAGGAAACACGTGCGCTTGGGAGAGTTCAATGTCAAGACGGAGCCGGATTGCATTGAGGAGCCCAATTACTTAAGCTGTGCGGATGCGGCATTGGATATTGGATATGAGCATATCCATGTGCATCCGGAGTACAAAGAGTACTCGAGTCACAAGTACAATGACATTGCCATAATCCGACTGAAGCATCCGGTTAGCTTCACGCACTTCATCATGCCCATCTGTCTGCCCAACAAGACCGTGCAGACACCGCTGACTGAAGGGCAAATGTTCTCCGTCTCCGGCTGGGGACGCACCGATCTCTGTAAGTGTGAACCTCACTGGCTGGTATAGTACTTCCGTTCTAACTCTGATCTCTTGCAGTCAACAAGTATTTCATTAATACGCACAGCCCGATCAAACTGAAGCTGCGCATACCCTATGTGTCCAGCGAAAACTGCAGCAAGATGCTGGATCTCTATGGTGTGCGACTGGGTCCTAAGCAACTCTGCGCCGGCGGCGAGAAGGCAAAAGACACCTGTGCCGGTGACAGCGGAGGTCCGCTCATGTTCTTCGATCGCCAACACTCGCGCTGGGTGGCTTACGGCATTGTAAGCTACGGATTCACACAATGCGGCTCCGGACCTGGCGTCTATACATCTGTGCTAAGCTATATTAACTGGATTGAGAGCATAATCAAGAAATAGAGAGGGAGTGGAAGAGGGACCATAGAAAGGAGGAGAGAGCTTCTCTCTAAGGTGGTATGAGATGAGAGGGGGAGGAATAGATAGAATGTTTTATTGACGTCAAATTCTGTATAAAGCCAATTTCAATAGGTCTAAAATTGAAATCTGAACCTCATTAAGTCATAGAAGGGAGAGGGAGGAAAGGGTGGTTAGGCAATAAAAAATATTGATGTCAGTGAATACTAGGGTTCCAATTAGCCAGCAACTGGATCGAGAGCACTACCGACCTAAAGAAATAGAGAAAGCGAGAGAGAGGGAGAGCTAGGCAGAAAAGGAGGGCAGAGAATGTAGAACGTTAACATCAGATTCTCATAGACGATACTATAATGGACCAGTAGCTGGTTTGAGAGCCATATTAACTCATAGACGAGGATGGAATGTGGAATATTGACGTCAGATTTGCAGGCGAACGTATTTCAATGTGCCGTTAACAGCTGGCGCCTATACAAAAGGCGGGTTGCGGAGGGGGTCGGTAGCCATTGGACTGAACTGTTTCTAAATATTTGTACATATTTTGCTAATTATCTAACAGTTACTTAGTGTGAGTGAGCGTGTGCATGCTGTTGTGTCAGTGCATGAGTGTGTGAGCGTGTGTCTGTATGTATGTGTGCTTTAGCATGTGTGCGTGAGTTAACAAAAGTCTGAAAAACATGTTTCTATTGAAATAAGCTATTAAAATATTTACACACACTAGCACGTTTTCCTTATTAATCAAATGCCAGAAATGTTCCAAGACCTGAGCTGATCTTGGCTCGGCTCCAGCTGCAATTGGAGGTTGTCGATGCTGGCGATGCTGATGACTCATCGCAACGGAGCTGGGGGAAATAAAAAAGGAACAGCTAACAATGAAGAACTGTTGAATTTACTGTTGGCACTTGCACTTAGCTAGCGTCGCATGCCCTTGAGCCCCAGGGCTGCGGGGCGTGTCCATGGAAGAGGCGAAACGTTAAGCAAATGATTGAACAGACAGCTGAACGGACAGCTTACCAGCCAGACAGTTATATAGACAGCCAGTCAGCTGTTTCACTTTTTTTTTTACATCCCTGTCAGCAGCTGGTTAAACTTGATATTGCAGTTTTAAATACACTAACAAGAGGTATTATGATTTGGTAAGCAAGCACAAAACGCATAGAGATGTTTGAGAAGCAGACAAATAAAATAAATCAATAAAAATCTAAAACATACTATATATACATATTTAATTAATATACATTTATTTGTACTCTAAACTAAAAGTTTTTATTCAATATAATAATACTATTACATTTAATTTAATTTTGAAAATATATTGACTTTATTGTGATATTAAAAATTTGATTAATGAGATCACTTTATTCTATCTCTGTATATAGACAATACAATATCAAAATTATAATTTTCAACTGCTCTAAATAATAAAATCTCAATAAGAAGAAATTTGAAATCCAATTCAGTCAACTGAAATTCAACTTTGATGGCCAAATAGTCAAACTCGGATCTTCATTGAGAATATAAAATCGTAATCTAATATATTCAATCATAATTAACATTGTTAGAGCATTCAATCTTCGAGTTCCACAGTCATCGCTGCTTCTATATTCAATATATGTGTATGTATATTTGTTCGTCGTCGTTTTGATGTCGTCATTGATTGCCACACTTTGCTTTCACTCATCATTCGCGTGCAGTCCAGGCAGGCAGACCTGGCGTAGACCTGGCTCAACGCGGACTACGGCCGATTTCGAACGTGAGCAGTGATGCAATGCGGGCCAAATGGAGACGAGCTGGGCATGGCCAAGTCGAGCCAAGTCAACTCAATTCAAGCCAAGCCTAATGCTGCCCAAATTCAAATCGATGCCATTCATCAGGCCAAACCGAGTTGGCCAAAAATAGCCCAAAGACAGGGCAAACAATTTGTATGCACAGTTTGGCAGCGGGCGCTGCTGATTCCAACTGTGCCACTGACCAAAATTGGTCACTGGCCAACACTGAATGCTGATGATCATCATCATCATCGTGATGATGATAATGATCGAGTATGCGTCAGCGTAGTGAAAGTGAACTTGACTCTTTGACGGGTTGCTGCGAATGCTGCTGCTGCGGTTGCTGCTGTTGTTGTTGCTGTTAATGTTAATGTTAATGCTATTTATGCTGATATGTGTGCGATATGTCGCATTAATATTCATGATGATGTTTAACAGTCAGAAGAAGACAGTGAGGCATTATTGTTGCTGTCTCTGTTGCTGTTGTTGCTGTCGCTATTTGCGCAGCTCATTACGAAGCTTTGGCGATTTTCGTTAACCTTGAACTAAATAGAGATATATTTATGTAAACATATGTGTATGTTTGCATAAATGTTAAGCGAATGTCAGGAAATTGCCAAATGTATTTGACATTGAAAATCGCAAGAAATTTTGAAATGATATTTCACTAAAAGGTGTGAACTATATTTAAAGAAGACATTGAAATGGATGTCTTAGCCGTATCACTCAGAAACTTTACATGCTCAGCCACGCCCTCTTCTTGCGAACACAGCATTGTTAGTGAGGGGTTATTATTTTTTGTGGGGTCACATCTGTCCATTCTGGGCATCCCAAAGAGAATAATAAGTGAATAGCTGTAACCGCAAAAATTGAAAAATAAAGAGAAGTAATATTCGTTGAAAGGACAGCCAGCTAATTTGTTTTATGGAGCAAAACAGTTCAGCTGCCACGCCCACTCAACTTTGAAAAAATTCCAAATTGTGTGCTGTGCAGTAGAAAAGGTCGCCTAATCGAATTTAAAAGTCGTCGCAACCCTCTTGCAGTGGATAATTGAGTTGGGCCGGAGTTTTTGCCGCAGAGGCTTTTGTGTAAAAAGTTTGTTTGTTTGGACAAAATTGGAAAATGAATAGGTAAACTCCATAAAATTAGCCATATGGCCGTAGCTCTACAGGTGCAGAACCGTTTTGCCTCTCAACTTTGCCAGTGACGTTTTTATTAGATGTTTCGTGTCGTTCTTTATGTGCTCGACAATTGGATTTCCATTTATGTGCAGCTGAGCAACGAAATGCATAACGATAAAAGTTTATCGATTTGTTAATTTCGCGAGCAGCTCCAGTATCAACAACAATATCAACAAAATGCGACAGACGTTGACGCTGCCATTAAATGCCTGTCACAGAACAGGACAGGACAGGATACGACCATCAAACGCTTTGCATGACAGACACATATGTATACAAGAGGGGCGGGCATATGGGAAAGTGGGCAGGGTTCAAGGGTAATTCACATGGGCATTTGGGTGAAATTGTTGTGGAAACACAATGAAATTAGAATGCGAAAAAAGAAATAAATGTTTATAATATATATGTATATGTGTGTATATATTGAGAGTATCGTTTTCATTAGTTAATGGATGTCAGAATTACTGAGAATATAAAAATAGAATAAGTGCAAAGTGGGAAGAGCGAATGGCGGGACAGAGATATGCGTTCTTATCAGAGTAAAAGCATTTTACGTATTGCGTCTTATGTGCCGAACGGGAAGCATAAATAAAGGCTTACTGAGAGTCAATGAAAACGAAGTTTTTATACACTTGCTGCATAAGAAAAGAAGAAAGAATATCATTATAATGTGTATTCCTCATAATTTTAGCTGAAGTTTGTTATATGTATTTTAAGTTAACTTAATATTTAAGCTAAGCCGAGACTTACATTTACATAAATGTATTTATATAAAGAGTATTATTCAAACACACAATGTATTTATAATCACATGAACTGTTATTCACGTCTATATCTTAGGCTTTTTAAGAGTTCTAGTATTCACCTTTGGTACTATTTTGCAGCATGATCTAGATATGAGAAATAGAATTTAGACTTGAATTATGGCAACTGAAACTAAACTGCATGTACCAGAGCCACAACAACATATTGTATAATAAAGAGTATATTGTTCATGTCTATATAATATTGTGTTTAATTAAGAAATATATGTACTTAAACATTTGTTCTCTCCAGTAAATCAATACTTCTCCAGCGGATATAGTGTATAATCTATATGTGTATATATATATGTATATGCACTCCACAGACACTTGATAATCTGGTCGGTCGTAAACAGTAATTTATTGGACATATCAGTCAGAGTGAAAAGCTTGAGCTTAGTACACGCATAAACAAACGCATATATTGATATATGAATTACAATTAAATCAAAGTATTATGTGGCGCTATTGCATGATCTTAGCTCTATTGAGTGTCCTGCTGCTATTGTGTGATGGTAGACATCATCATTCTGTGGAGGTACGTAGTTGAAGTCCTTGACAGTCAGTCGCACAATTTGAATGTACACAGATTGAGGCAGCTTCAACTGAGGCATTCGCTCATGCGGGACCGGCGGCCATTATGTTTGGCAATCCTCGACCACTGCAAAGACTCCGATTCAGCCCAAAAAGGACGCACAACAACAAGGACCAAGGCAATCGTGACAGAAAACGCAAGCATCACAAGCATCAGAGCTCGACTAGAGCCACTACCCGAAATTCTTTCAAGCATCACTAATAATTGTACAAAGTGAATTTTATTTTGCATTAAATGCGACAACCAAAAAGTATGCAATAAATGATAAATAAAGCTGAGTGAGCGGCAAACTAAATTGGGGAAACTCCAGTTACAGTGATGGCACGAAAAAAATAGTAATAATAATGATTTATGTGTGATTAATTAAAAAATCTTTCATTACAAATTGTTAAGCTGATGATTTGTTTTCTTATGAAGAGCTCTTAGAGCTACACTACAGGCCATAGTCAAAGCAAAAGGTATCTATTGTATATCTATATATATAAAAGAAAGTTGTGTAAAAGTGAAGACTGCTTATAACTTGATTTGGGCTGAACCAATTTTCATGGTTTTTGATTTGTTGGATTTGTCTCCGCAACGAGTTTAGTATAGGGTCTTAAAAATACTGAAAAAATTTGCCGAATACTTGAAAAACGCGGTTTTTTCCCCAAATGTTCAAATTTTTTTTATACCCAGTAGGCTTGGTAACAGTGACAGTTTTGACAATAGTGTAGAAGTAAATAAACAAATGTAGTCAGTCAGTCTACGGCACAGCCTCAGGCGAACCTGACTATTCATAAAAAAGCACATTTGTTAAAAAAAAAAATTTTGAAAAACAATACGCATACGGACAAAAGCAAAATATCTCGAAAGTTCAGGTAGGTATTGTTGAATTTGTTTTTCTCAGACATTATTTTTGTAAATAATTTATATTTGTATTTCTCGACATTATTTTTGTAAATAATTTTTATTTATATTTCTCGATTTCTCGATATTTTATGTGGTTTTGTGCGATTGTGCATATTCAGTATTACTATTAATGAAAATGCCGCGTCCTAGAAGATCTAATCTTTCCCAGCGGACCCATAATGCAATTAGGCTACGGAATACCGCGAGTCAATTATCTGACGAAGAACGAGAAAGGCGCCGCGTTAGTACCCAGCAAAGAAGGGCCTTAATTCGTGCTTCTCAAAGAGAGGCAGCCCGTGAAACGGCAATAAGAAATGGTTCAAGGATTGATTTGAATCGAGCAGCGTTTCGATATGATTGTACCATTGACTACAGCTTGAATCGTTTAGTTTGCATTGGTCCAATGGACGTTGTTTGCCAGCATTGTGGCGCATTGAAGTTTGCTGGTGAAACGCCCGGTTTGTGCTGCCTTAGTGGTAAAGTGACATTGCCATTAGTGGTCTCGCCACCGTTCCCTGCTTTATGGCGAAACACTAGAATCACGACATTTTCTAGCGAACACTCAAAAATACAATGCCTGTTTCCAAATGACTTCATTTGGGGCGGAAATTATTGAAGAACACGGATATAATCCGACATTTAAGGTAATTTACGTTAAAAATTTTATTTTCTTATTTGGGATAATGTAGTTGGTTAGATTTCTGTAAAAAGTGTTTGTAAATCTAACTATAACTATGGCTTTGAATGTAAAGATTCAAGGCCAGATTTGCCATCGCATTGGATCATTGCAACCTATTGAAGATGAACAGCACAAATTCTTGCAAATATACTTCATGGGCAATATGGAAGAGCAACTTGATCGGCGCCAAGAAATCAACACTGCGATGAAAAGAGCAATTCTCCAAGATTTGCAGCAAATGCTTCATGAACATCATGCATTGGTCAAGTTGTTCAAGACCGCTTTAGAGCGCATGCCAAGAGATGACTATAAAATAGTAATCAGAGCAGATAAAAGACCAGCTGGAACACATGAACGCACATTTAATGCTCCAACAATCGATGAAGTGGCAATCCTGATTGTTGGTGAAAGCTTGGAAGCACGCGATATTGTGCTTACACGACGCAGTGTTGCGCAACTACAAAGAATATCTGAAACGCACCGTTCATATGACGCTTTACAATACCCGCTGATGTTTTGGCAAGGAGACGATGGATATCACTTTAATATCAAAATGATAAATCCATTGAATGGTAAGATCAATCATTGTTTTCATTTTAACTTTATATATACATTTTATTCTGTTTGCTTTTGGTACACAAAAAAAGTTATCACTCTTAATTTAGTAGAGAGTAGCTGTAAGAGTCGTAAACCTATTAGGGGCTCTAAAATACAATTTTTACTGCATTTGTTTCAGGTGAGGAAACTGGCAAGAAGGTTAGTTCTATGAATTATTACGCATATCGTTTGATGATTCGTGAAAATTCTGACAATTATTTGTTGCGATTTCGTCGACTGTTTCAACAATACTGCGTTGACATGTACGTGAAAATCGAAACGGAGCGCCTGACTTTCATCCGTTTGAATCAAGCTAAATTGCGTTCGGAAGAGTATATTCATTTACGCGATGCAATAATTACAGACGGAGATTCTGAAAATGTTGGTCGATTGACTATTTTACCAGCGACATACACGCGTCGATACTCAAAGGAAAATTTAAAGATGAGGAAGTTCTTATTCCAAGGATTCCGATGATCCCAACAGATATGCCCTTTGAGTTTAAACGAATTCAATTCCCGATTCGTCTTGCCTTCGCCATGACGATCAACAAATCACAGGGCCAATCTTTGACTATTTGTGGCCTCAATCTAGAAAATGCGTGTTTTTCTCATGGTCAATTGTACGTGGCATGCTCACGTGTTGGCAAACCATCCGCATTATTTGTTCTTGCACCTGACCAAAAAACGAAGAATGTCGTTTACCACAAGGTGCTTGAATGAAAATCTGATTAATAAATTAATTAGAGTGTATCCCAACCTGAACAACATACCTTTTAATCATTTTTTACCTAGAAATAAGGGTAGGGCAATGCAACGCTTGCTGGGACTGCTAGTTGTTTATAATTTTAATAATAATATATTAAGTTTTAATAATTGGTATTACATTTGAAATAATCTTTAAAAATTGTTAGCAATTCAAATCAAACTCCTGACTTGAGTATTGATTTAAGAATGCAAAATGTATCTCCTTTTTAATTTTTAAATTTCGTAAGAGATTGTGTTAATAACTCACCTCTATTTCTAAAAGTTTTAAGAGTTTGATGCCAAAATAGATTGTAATTCGTACTACTCTCAATAGGCTCAACTGTACGCCTCTCTCTCTCTCCCTCTGTGCGGGTCGTCATGCTGTGCCACGTGTCGCTAACGCAAAATCAACAAACTCTATTGTAGTACATGTATAAACAAGCACAAACATAAACAGCAATAGACATTAGATTTTTAATCAACATGGGCATAATGCAAAACCCCCAATGTATTGCAATGATAATAATCACAAGCCAAGGCGACACGTGATGACTTTCATATTGTGCGAAAATTGTGCTGGCATAATTTGCATATTGCCAGGGCACAGTCCACACCCTCGACTCTCGGGAGATGTGTTCAATATTTATTAGAAATTAGCAACAAGCTGTTGAAATGAGTGGAAAAGCACTCCAGGCAGCTGCAGAGTGAGAAGATGCGAATCTCTCTTGAATCTGTTGCCGACGTCGCTTACTTCCGTTTATCTCGTTTGGGTTGGCATTTGAACGTGTGCAAATTATATGAATTTTCCTTTATAATTGTGCAGACTGTACAGTGAGCTATGCATATTTATTTTATTGAAATTAAATTGCCAGCAACATCAGCTCAATGTGGCGGAAGTAATGCAGTGAACGTGTCTGAATCACCAACGTCACCTTGCCGAGCTGTGGGCTGTCAGACCTCAATTTATAAGGCAGTGGGTCACAGCCTGAGGTCAAAGTTCGCACAATAAAAAGAATATTTAATTTCAATTTGTTGCCACACCGAAATTTGCATACGAAAAACTAATTATAAACATTTTGTAACATTTTCTTTACAATACATTTTTTTTGTGCTCCCTTCTAATTGAAATTTTGAGCTACTGTGCAAACAAAAGGTGGGCGTTAGCCCAAGCAAACAACGACATATGTAAGTAAGAGTGGGTGGGGCAGGAGCTGGAGGCAGCTGGGAGCTGAGCTGGTCTGGGGCAAAGTAACGGGGTGTATGTTAGCTCTGCAATCAGATGACAAATTCGTGTCATTTAAGCGAAAATAAATAAATAAGCAGGGAAGTAAGCCATATGTGTGTGAGTGAGCGTGTGTGTGTGCGAGTGTGTGACCCAACACTTGTGTGTGTCTTTTTGGCAATTTTCCCAAATACTCAAGTGGCACTCGTTGTGGCAGCTCAGCGACAATTTGCAGCTGCAACAAAGTTCGGCAACATTTTTTGCACATTAGCGAAGCGGCACTTGAAGTTGAAGCTAGCGTAGAGCCTAAGGAAGAAGAGCACTTGAAGCTGTCAGCGAATAACTTGACAGACACACTCACACATGCACACTCACACATACACACATGACTACACATACACCTTTTCGTCGCATTCAGCGAGCTTGTTTCAAAGTCAAATACAATTTGATAGCAAGAACAGCAGACGGCGATAGCGAAACTAGAAATTCAGGGGAGTTGTAGATTTTGTGGACCACATGTGGCCAAAGGTTTTTGTGTGACCTTTTGTGTGGCTGTGGCACAGAGCAAACCCAACGCCCAACGCCCAATGCTCAACGCCCAACTATTATGCAAAATAACATTAATTGTTTTGCCAAACAAAAGAGCGAAATCGCAGCGGAAATTGGAAATGTGAACTGTTTCTATGTTCACACAAATACACACTCACACGCACAAGCACATAAGTGATACAGTTTTCTGTAACCCTAAATCTATAGAACTATAAGCGCCACATGTAGTCCCTGGAGGTAGGCAGAGCGATTCATTTAAATTTGATATGGCATGCTTAAAATCCAAATTGTAGCACTCATATCGTTGGTACAGTCCCAACATCACGACAACAACAACAACAAGGACAGCAACAACAATAATAACAACCCCATAAAGCATTTGACGGTCCATTCGCGGGTAGTTAAAAGACAGAAACACCACCATCACCACCACCACACCAACACCACGGAGTACATTTTTTGGGTTACGAGGTGAAAATCCTGCGAACTCAGCAAGAGCTCTCAGGCACTTTAAGATGATGCACTGAAAACAAAGTAAGGTATATGTTGAAACATTCACTTTGAATGAAATAAGAACTAAGTCTAAGGTAAAAAAAAGTGTTAAAATAATTCAATACTTAGATAAAACTTACGATATACAAATATAAAAAAGTTTTAAAAATTAATATATAATAATAAAAATTAAATACAAATATATAAGAATAAAATATTTGAATTTAACATAATATTATTAAGAATAATATTATTAAATATTAAAATATAATCTGTAATGAAAATGTATATGAAAATAAATGTTCTGTTATCGACATTAAAATGTCCATTAAAATTAAACAAAATTTAGGTATCCATCAAACCAATTTAGAATAATATAAGAATTTTTATTATTAAATTTTAGTTATTTCATTCATTGTTGGTTATATAAAAACAATTTATTTGCAAAAATTTACATTTAAAAGAATTTGTATTATAAAGAATTATTTATACCGAAAGAGTCGCATAGTTTTTGTCTTAAAAAAAAAAAAAACAGTTCATTTAAAACTTATACTCTTTGTGTAGAGCTTGTACTCTAATATCCATACTGAGCAACCACTTAATATTTTTTCCAGTGTACTATATGATATTGGAGGATTGGGCATTCATATGCTAAGCATATGCCTTGACAGAGGCAGTTGCCATTTTTTAATCGCTCACAGCCAAATGCCAAGCGACTTGATGCGCGTTCGCTTTTCCCATTTATACAATTTTCCTTTTCCTTTCTCCTTTTTCTTTTGACTTTTGTTGCGCTGGGCTTTTCAGGTTTTCCACTGATGCTGCTGCTGGCTTTTGTGTTACAGTCCAACGATTTGCATATGAATGGAAGTAATAAGGCGGCGCAAGGAAATTAAAAGTAAGCAGAAGGAGCAGGAGCAGGAGCAGGAGCAGCAGCAGCAGCAGCATTGGAATCCTTGTGCCACATGTGTGCACAAAGAAGAGTGGCAGAAGTTTCCCGGGTTCCAGTTGCCTGCTGGTTGCTTCCACACATAATGAAACATTCCACGAGTGCGGAATTAATAGCCATGATTTGTCTTTTGTTGTCTTGGAGTGTAGTAGGCCTTCAATTGCATTCAATTGTTTAATTGAGCGGAAGCGGGCGTAGCTTTAACATTTTCCTACCTCAGGTGCTGTACCAACTATATATATGTATAAAAATATATAGAGTGAGAGAGAGTATTATATCCCAGCGCAATTCCGGTTGCAGCTGATGAACTGCAATTATTGTCTGAATTACATCAACCTCGACTAACTTCCCCTCGTCCGGAACTGACTTTAATAGAAATTACGACGCATTAGCACAGAAAATTTCGTGACGCTTTTCTTCAGCTCAAACGAAATTTAATCAACTTGCTTGATTTTTCTTCCTTTTCCTTCTTTTTTATTATGCTAAATCCGCAAATGAGCTGTCCTGCTGCTGACCAGAGGGTTCTGCGTCTCGATCGAAGGGGAGTTCCACACACGAACTTCATTGATTAACGATTGGACAAAGGCAAAGAGGAAAAAGTCCCTCGAGAGCAGGACACGCACATATCACACACACACACACACTTACACGCACACACGCTCAACATAATCAAAAAATTAAAATCTCTTTATGTTTTTATGCGCGCTGATTGAATGGTTCCATTGTTGTTATTGCTCGGACAGTTTGATGTGCCATTGATGGACTCGGCAACGAGTGGACATGGCCCAGAACTTGGTTGCGGCTGACTGAACTAATCGGCCGGCCAGCCAGCCAGCGAAATCACCCTCTCAACCAATGCAGTCGGCCGTCAGTCGAGTGTAATGGATACATGGACAGCGAGCGCATTGTAATATTATCCTTCATATCTCATATGGAAAGCGTCGATTAACTGCAAACGCGTTTCCTTTTCTCTTCCCTTTATTTTTTTGTGGCTTCAGCTCATATTTAATGAAGTCACGTTTGCGGCTTTAAGCTCTAATCTAGTTATTAGCCTCGCTTCTCTTTTACTTTTTTTCGTGTCTTTGTATTCAGCTTTGATGCTGCTTTTAGCACTAATTGCAGAGACTTTTCACACACACACACACGCACACATGCATAACCTTTGTTCTAGTTTCAAGTGGCTTTGAAGTGGACGCACAATGGAGTCGTGCACCAGGTGTGAAGGAAAAAATTGCGCTCCCTCTCCTACAGAGTTTGTATCAAAAGAGAACTGTCTCGTAAATAGCGTTAAAGCAGCACTTGAGAAAAAGAAATCCAATAAGTTGCCTTCGGGCCTCAATGATGATGACTATGATGACTAAGCACTGTCTCTCGCCTTTCGCCTCCTGCATCTCGCCTCTAGCTGTGCCGTTTCAACCCTCCGGCTAGTGCTTGGTACCCTCTGCTGTCCGTTTTTATTGCAATTTGCGAAAAGCAGAAATATTTGATTACGAAATGCGAACCAATCTATGCCAAGAATAGCCACGCCCCGCAAGTGGAGGCGGCGTCATAGTCGGAACTCGGCGCTCATTATGACCGACAAGTGAAAGGGCGAGCGAAGCACTCACGAGTCAATAATGATAAA